TAACTTGAAACTGTTTCGTTATAAACTGTAAGTTTCTCATAAACTCTTCAATCGAGACTTTGTTCGTTTCGCAAAGCGCCATTTTTGTTGCCTCTATTCTTTCGCCTCCAACAGCGGTCTCCTAGATTTCATTAATATTTTCAAGTTATTTTTGTATATTACCATATCTGTATGTAGGATGAAGAATTTTCGTGAACCTAAATTTTTTTTCTTACGTTTGTTAATATTTGATTAGATTTTGCAAACACGGAACTACTTTTTAAGTCGCAAATACAAGGGGTGGTGAACGTCCCTGTGTGGAAGGTAGGGAGAACTTGATTTTCAATATTTCACATTTGTAATGAGATAATTTAATTTTCTGGACGAAACAAAAAGAATATAATAAATAAGATTCTTCCATGTGTCGAGTTAAACATGATATTGCATGAAATATCCTCTGTGTATCTCCCTTCATTGTTTTTCAGTTTTGAAAAACACACTCTAAATTTTTAATAAAAGCAACAAAACCCTTTTCATATTCATACGAAATCTCTGCCAATATCAGTTGACTTTATGACTCCGACTATATCTTGAGCATGTGTTTATGAATCACTATCAAATAGTTATGATGCCAGGTGTTCGCAAAAATATGTTTCTAAACTGTCTGACAGATAAGACTGTGAACTTGAATTAAGGAGAAGGTGTCAGTTTAAAATAAAAATACATTAACATGTTATATGCCTTTTTAGGTAATCTGTCTTTGTGGATGTGAACTATTTTAAGCTAATATGTTAATATTCTAATATATCTGTAACACATTTTCGGTGTCTGATACCAGAATAGCGTCGTCAGGGAATAACAGTAACAATATTTCTGAAAAATCAGAAATAACTGAATAACATTTTTGAAAGAAATAACTTCTTTTGACAGTTCACTTATAAACAAGGAAAAGAGCAATGGGCTCAAAATTCAACCTTGGCGTAAACCATTCAGATAGTCAAAATAACGTGTTACATTTATGTTTCCTCTCACACTTAACTTAACATGACTTAAAATGTTAAAAAATACTTCTTAAAGCGTTCAACCTTTTACCATTCAGATAATAGGATTTTAACAGGAACCACAACTTATCCCGATTTACAAAATCATAAGATTTCTAAAAAATTACAAAAGCCACAAAAAAGAGTGCAATTCCTTCTGCTTAAACATTTCTGTACCATAGCATGTAATGTAAATATGTGGTCAGAAGTTTAATAACCCTGTTAAAGCCGGCTGTTATTTACTCATTATGTTTGACCAGAGCATCTAGACTATACACAGTACAATGGTGTTGAGATACCACGGTAGTTATTTGGATTACCACGCCTGCCTTTTTGTGAACAGGCATAATAACCGCTCAAGTCCACACATAAGGAAACATACCGGACTCAAATATTCTATTAAATAATGAGTGAGTAAGTTAAAATGTAATATCATATCGGCAATATTACGGCCATATCGTGACGATCTATTAAATAAAGCCTATATGAAAAGCATCATCACATTTTCGGAGACGTTTTACATTTTAATAATAACAATGTTCATACCTGCGGATTCGCCATCTTTTAAATGAAAGATTGCATTATGTATTTCGTCCTCTGTGATTGAACAGAGGCAAATTGCCTTAGGTGTCTGTGTGGGCAGGCCCGAAGCCCTCTGAACTCTCTGCAGTCAGGCTGCCGAACACGGTCACCCATCCACCTACTCTGCGTTGCTTAACTTCGCCTGATATGTGGCGCTATACACTGGACCAGGTGCCACCACTCAATCTCTTTTTACTTTATCTAGAAACCACCAGCTGCTGCACAAGAGCATTATCATAAGGTTACATGTTTGGATAGTTCCAAGAGAATGACGGCAAGAGAATGTGGTGTGATGTAGTTGTATAAAAGTTTAAATAATAAAATTTTCGTTGTGTTCATTGAAATCCCTGCATTCTGAATTGGTCACGTGTTATTGCAATCATTTCCCAATGAATGTAACAAAATTAAGCCACGCCCACCGAGGCGCACAACTTTTATTACTGCGGAATGTCGGGGAATCCCAATATTGCAGTCGAGAGAATTCCCTTTCTGCTCACGTGTATCGACATTAAGCGACTTTCATGCATATTCACATCTTCCCGAGGCAAGTGAGTTAACTGACTATAAAAGTCCAGTTTCCACCCTTGCCGAACTAGGCTGGTATTATGGAGTTACATTTTGACTCGGCTAACGAGTCTATGCATAGTCCAATCAATATCCGGTTTGTAAAATGTTGTGCAGATTTCTGTCGATTGCAGGATTTGCAAAACATGTGCACCGCCAACTCGTTGTCAACAGATATTTTCCAAGTCTTTTCATGTTTTTAATCAAGGTGCTCACGTGATTTGATGCACTTCGCTATGTAAGACCCGTTTTATCACAACATAGATCTTGATTATCAATCAGATCGTTTTGACTGGGCGCCACCATTTTGTTTGAAACAAATGCAAGTGATACGAGAGGTGGAATCTGATTGGTCCATAGGTCCAACATAACTCGTAATAACCACTGGTGGCGCTACGGTCGAGCCCAGGAATTCCAGCCTAGTTCGGCAAGGGTGGAAACTGGACTTTTATGGTCAGTTAACTCCCTTGCCTCGGGAAGATGGCATATTCATTGTCCAAACTACCCTTTGAAACCGGGGGCGGTCGGGTTAAAGCGTTCGCTCGTCACGCCGAAGACCCGGGTCCGATTCCCGACATGGATACAATATGTGTGAAGCCCATTCTGGTGTCCCCCGCCGTGATATTGCTGGAAAGTGCTAAACGCGGCGTAAAACAATACTCACTCACTTTGAAACCGAAGGCCGAGAATGAATGAAACATCAAACGTGTAGGCTCGCTCGCATGTTTTTTTCCCGCTCGCCTCGGTTCAAATTTCATGTCTTCGGGTTTCATTATTTTCTAACTAGCATTTTCCAAACTGTGTTTTACCGTAATAAGGGAGGTATTGTTTGAATCTGGCGGTAACTGACCATGACATTTGAAACAGCCGCCTTCTCCCGGACATACTTCTTCCGGTTCGTTACAGTCTGACTGTTGCAGTTCTTTCGTCTCTTGCCTTAATTGATTGCAGCCTGGTTCCCTGGGTATGCTGCGCTGGCGCTACACTGACCTAGGCAATGACTGCTCAATGGCCGCCTTCATTAGACGAACATGTATTTCCTCAAGAAAAACGCTAGAACGGGTGTTTCATTTTTTTCTTAGCATTTTTATGAATGCTCTTGCAATGTATATGTCACGAGAATAACGTCCATTATTACGTTTTGTGAAGGAAAACATTATTTAAGCTGTTTCAAGACTCGAAAGTGGTCGTCACATCGGTGAAATGTAAACAATGATACACACACCATTTTTCAACAGTGATATTTGCTCAAATATTCCGTGTCAGCTCACTGTTGCCACGAAACCGTATACATAATACATGGAATTAAAGGACCTCGTTAATGAATTACCGTTAGCATCTTTATTTTAGAAAATCTGATTACGCACATGTCGCCGATTATGCCCCGTTTTCTCCCATTGTGAAAGAGGTGGGTTAAACGGGGTTATTGAACGCCCAGTATAATATCTAGAAAAAACAAACACTTTTGATCCGTAATATAGGTATTTTATCATAGGGTCTGTCATTGGTTCTGATATTTTGCCTCTGGATTTTATTCACTTGAAAAGCCATTTATTTGGCATTTGTTTTCTTATTACACAATGAAATTAATCATAAATAAATCTAATAACTTGGGAAAAAATAATTGATAAATTCAAATCTAGTGTTTTTTAACTATGTGTGAGCTTGTAAAAACGTCGGGTGTGAATGGCATTATAATAAAGAATATGTTCATTATTTTGAATTAATTTGGTACAGTGGCATACACATTGTAGATATAACATGTGTTACGTTGTCAAATTTAATTATAAGCATTGACTGTAAACGCTAAGCGGATTCATACAGTTTGCACATCGGTTTTTCAATTCGTACCTCAATGAGCCGAACAAAAATAGAGTCAATCCTTAAGTGAGTGAGTGAATATGATTGTATGCCGCTTTTAGCAGTATTCCAGCAATAACACGGCGGGGGACACCAGAAATGGGCTTTACATATTGTACTCATGTGGAGTATCGAACATGAAGTACAAACAATTTTGTTTCTCTATAACTTACGAAAACCATAAAACCTTCTCTTTTTAAATTATATTATAACATTGCCATTTACGTTCTTTTACCCTGTAAAACTGTTAACTGTGAGGTCATTCATATCGAATCATAGGACTTGCGGTTTGAATGTCTACTGCAGTAGCTATTTGTTCTCTAAACAGACATAAACTGACATACCCTAAACCCCAGGTACCATGTGTTTGTTTCAAAGTGAGCTAGAGTCATAGGCATGTCTGTGTGTTGCGCTCTGATGCAATAAGCACATTTCACCATTCAACATTCGGAAATACAAATAAAGTAGTTCCTAGATTAGTTATAACCTGTAACTTTCTTTTGCAATAGGTTTGTGCTTTTCTAAATCGGAAGTGATACTATTCGCTGCGGTAGAAGTAATAACCTTTGCTATCATGACTTTATATTTGAATTTCCACAGTAAAAATAATGTTGTCTGCAATCGAAAGTGAATTCATGAGAACAGAAGTGTTAACGTCTAGTAATTGAGCTAAGTGACAGGGTGATTAACACTCTTGGTTTTGTGTTTTTATGTCAACCAAAAGCGCGTTGATGTGTTCACATTGAACAACCATATCGCTTTGTATTGTCTGTCCCAACAAACAACAAACATGTCCCTTTGAGGCCTACATCGCTGGTTACATCAATATTTATATGTTATGGTAATATAATTCTCAAAGTAGTAATAGTAGTAGTAGTAGTAGTAGTAGTAGTAGTAGTAGTAGTAGTGAGGAATGAACGATAATAGAGACAATTGGATAAAACTAATATGCATGTATTGTCAATCATTCTGTAGCTATGGCACTCTGGACTAGAAAGTTTGGCTCTGAACTGGACGGAGAAATGTCAGTGGCAGCACAACTGGAGGCGGCACCGAATCCCCGGCTTTGACTACAGATATGTCGGCGAAAACATGTATCTAACTCTCAGTAAGTATACAATATAGTCAAAGGCTATAAGGATCATAAGAGAAACATTAGAGAACCCATGAGCACGTGTATGGTGCTGACAAACCTAGAAACATAATCGGGGCGATCTGGGATGGGAACCCACGATCATAGATGCCTGGCGTACCCAAGGGACGTAATTCTGCACAGCGAATTGCCGCGCCTCAGATGACTTGGCCGTCCGTGCCCCCAAATCTTAAGAAAGAAAATGAAGGATATCATTAGCCTATGATGATTATATTATTGATCAGGGTTAATTCTGTCTCTAAGAGCATCGTTTAGTCGCTTTAGTATAATTCCCTGTAGGTATATTCGAGGGTGGGAGGGGTGGTGGTATTTTAGCGTTTTATATTTCGAAGGGTGTGATGACAATAAAGCGACAAAACCCTTTCCATATCCAATAGAAATCTCTGCATGAAGCAGAGTCGATAGTACGATTCCGACTATATCATGAACATGTGTTCATATGAATCACTATCAAATAGTGATGATGCCAGGTGTTCGCGAAAAGGTGAGCGTATCCTGTCCCAACGGTGGCACCCGTCAGAAATACATGCAAAGGAAAGTCAATTGTTCACCTGAAAAAACACGGGAACATATGGTACAAGTCAAAATAGGGAATTGCAACTGACATCATTTTTGTCACTAATGCGTCAAATTTGGAATTGTCCACATCTCTACCATGATACTTTTTGAAAGCTTTACTGAGGCCTTGAATGTTGAAATCTTGATTAAACAACTTCTGAGGAAGAGTTGTATGACGCTCTTTGAAATCTTGGAAGTATGACCATGTGTTACACTCAGAATTGCCGTCACTCAGAGAGGGAATTGAGCACGTGTATCCGCCATAAGGACCTCCCTTAGCATCAGCACTGATGTTGCAGGCGAGATGGTCTCAGATATAAATCATTCACTGAATGTGTAAAATACTCTTGAGCAAAGTTTGATGTGTGCCGTGTCTCTTTATCATCTGATGAGTACTCATAGAAAGGCGTAAGCGTTAAACCACTGTCATTACCTGCTAGGTAGCCTTGGCTGTGTGACGTTAAGTTACCATAAACATGTTCTCAAGATGTGGTCAGGGACAGGGTTCGGTTCCCAACATGAGCACAATGTTTAAAACCCGTTACTGGTGTTCCCCTCCATGATGTTGTTGGAATATTGATAAAATAGCGATGAAACTATAATCATGTACCGAGAGAAGGTACTTGTTTAGGCACAAGCCCTAGTAGAGTCAAACCAATCTGAGAATATTTACAAACTATGGTGACAATCTTAAGATCTGTTTTATCCATAGGTTGCACGACCCGTGAAGATTCCGGGGTAGAATAGGTCTTCAGCAACCCATACTTGCCGTAAAAGGCGACTATGCTTGTCGTAAAAGGCGACTAACGGGATCGGGTGGTCAGGCTCGCTGACTTGGTTGATACATGTCATCGATCCCAAATGCGTGGATCAATGCTCATGATGTCAATCACTGGATTGTCTGGTCCAGACTCGATTATTTACAGACCGCCGTCATATAGCTGGAATATTGCTGCGGCGTTAAACAGCAAACAAACCAACCAACCAACGTAACAGTGATGAAATATGTGTAATGTATTGTTGTCAGCAATCTGGTCCTATTCCACAAAGTTGTCTTAGCATAACTATGTTAAAGTATGGAAGTTGTCGAACTGGGCCCTGCTTTGAAGTGTCACATGTTGTGTATTGCAGCCTGGTTCTACACGACTAGAGCGCTGGATCAGTGGCATAACGAGAAGAAGTTCCTCACGCCTCAGCTGTCATGTAGGTCCAGGAGACAATGTGGTCACTATGTCCAGGTATGGGGAGTCCGGGTTAGAATTGGCCCCCAGCAACCCATGCTGGTCGTAAGAGGCCACTTAAATGAATCAGTTGGTCAGGAACGATAATTGGGTTGATCGTTTGTCGTCGAACCTCGATGGCGTCGAACTTTACTGATAATATCATCCACTAGTTTGTCTGGTCCCGACTCAATTTTTTGCCTCTGCTATGAACATTTCACAGGTGAAATATTACCGAGTCCAGTTTCACGTTATAAGCAAACAAAGCAAAGACCCTAAAAATGACTACCAAATTGAGTTATGCTATCGTCAGTTTGAAACCGTTTAGTTTCCATATTCATTCAAGCCTGTAGACGACCAAACGAACTGATGGAAAAAAAGCGATAGTTACGCTGATCGCCTAAAGGACACGTCATAAAGCACGTCCTTGCATGACTACCCTTTGAAGTTAGTTCGTTGTCCCAAATTGTGAAGTTACCTAATGACTCGAAACAGGTGCTGTGAAATGCTCGAAAGGACATCACTTAAGTCGTTTTGTCTCCCCAACGTCCTTGCTAAACTGATGCACTCCACGTCGTCATCTTGTCAGAAATTCGCACCAACCCTTAGAGACTACATGTGTACTGTCTTCCCCAAACGTGGATTAGGTTCTAGCAATCATCACTTTACCGATCCAGCACAAAACATGGTCTTGTAAAATATAAGACAAAGTTAAAATTCCAGAGTCAAACTTTATTACTTCTGTGCGTGGTTGTACGCCAGTGTGCCTGTATACGCCAGAGTGCATGGATGTATTTTGTAAAAGGGTACAACAAAAATAAAACAAAAGAATTACTCCTTATGCAAGAAGGAAAATACACATGTACTACTATTACTACCCTGTGGGAGACTAAAATATTAAGTTTATCCCTATACAGAAAAACCTACGTGGAACTTTTACGTTCTCATCCTAAAATATACACGTGGTTTCTGATGCTACATTACACTAGAGTGAGTGAGTTAAAGTTAAACGTCACATCGGCAATATTTCAGCCATATCGTGACGAACATTACACTAGAATTATCACATCCTGAATATACCAAAAAACGTAACATGATTTAGATTCAAAACATAACGTTCTTAACGATTTACTAAGTTGATAAATTTACAGTCTAGATGGCTGAAGTTCGACCTGATACAGCGTGCAATGCTAAAAACCAATTGGAACGTACAACAAACGTTTTAAACTAGCACTTCCGGTTCTCAGCGAAGTGCATACTTGCAATCCCACTGCATACATTATTACTGTTACTTGTCACAATATGTAAAAGCCAGTTGACCCCCAGAAACAGAAATAAAGGCGTTGTGATCAACATAAGTGCAGCCTGGCGTGCCTTTAACCGTAAACAAATTATTAATTGACCGATTGAGTATCACCTCTACGGCCCAGCATCTTAATGATCTGGGCGGTGGAGTAGTCTAGTGGTTAAAGCGTTCGCCCGTCACACCGAAGGCCTGGTTTCGATTTCCCACATTGGTACATTGTGTGAAGCCCACTTCTGGTGTACCCTGCCGTGATATTGCTGGAATATTGCTTAAAACGGTGTAAAACCCAATTACAACCGATGAGACTGACGCCATGAAATTGATGTGTAGACAATGATAAAGTCAGAACAGATACAAGTATCTTTTAAGTGGACGTTTAAATGTATTTAGGAAAGAAGCAGGCTCCAGATAAGCAGGCAGAGAATTCCAAGGATCAGCTGTTACATGAACAAATGATCTTCAGGTTAGAATTCTGAATAACAATTGTGCGTTCTGAGAGTGATCTCAAGGTACGTGCAGGCGATAGTCCTTCACCATATCACACAGGTATGTCGTAGCTGTGTCACATACACACTGATAAGAAAGACAGGTAACTGTAAAGATGATCCTCTTCTGAATGGGAAGCCGCCAAGAGATCTCAGAGGTGCATGGCAATCCTTTGACGATCTGGCCGCTTCCTGGGCAGCAGTGTTCTGACCATTTGCAGGCACTTTATTATACAGTAATAAGGTCTCGACAAAAAAAAGGGATCTCATGAGAGCTGCTCCAGACTTGTAACTGAGAAGGTTTCTTATGCTACTTATGCTTCTCAGATGATAGGGGGCGGTCGGGTAGCCTAGTGGTTAAAGCGTTCGCTCGTCACGCCGAAGATCCGGGTTCAATTCTCGACATGGGTACAATGTGTGAAGCCCATTTCTGGTGTTCCCTGCCGTGATATTGCTGGAATATTGCTAAAAGCGGCGTAATACCATACTCACTCACTCTCTCTCAGATGATAATAACACTTCCTGGCCACACCAAGGACGTGGTCGTCAATGCCGAGTGCGGCATCAAGATAGACGCCATGATTTTGACACTTTGGAAGAGGAGGGTAGGAAGAGAAATAAAGTCTTTCAAATCTCACGAAAGATTCAAGGTGTCCATCAATTTTCATTTTTGATTTAATTTAATTTTCACAGATGGTGTGGTTCAACACAGAAACCGTGGGATGTGCTGTGCGATACTGCGACTCTGTGAAGTACTCTAGGTATATTCGGGATGGCTTCTTCATGGTTTGTGATTACGGTCCTCTGTGAGTATATACTAGTACGTGTATATAGATAATGTCAACTACGGATTTGTTTGGTGTTCTACGGAAGTATATGAAATTCTATGAATTGCGGATGTCGACCAAATTTCAAAGCCTCAGCCTAGGTGGTGGTTTTAGCTAGTCTAAAGGATCGACTATGTAAACCGGAGCCAAGCCGTAATATGTCCGGCCCCAAACTGGGTCGCACCGAACACTTCACAATCTTCCAGAGCCGAACTTGGTGGTCTTTAGATTCCACCACTCATATCACTTGCATTTGCTTCAAACGAAATGGCTCTGCCCGATTGATGATCAAGACATATATTGTAATAAAACGAGTCTCACCTTGCGAAGTTTATCACATCACATTGGCACCTTGATTATTATGTGTCATTGCCAGTTGACGGTACGCATCTTTCTTAAATCCTGCGGTCGACCGAAAATCAGCACGTTGAAATCCATATTTTTTACGAACCGGGTGTCGATTGCGTCACGCGATTTTGATTGGACTATGCATAGACTCGTTAGTCCAGCCAAGATATAACTCCATAATCGCAGCCTAGTTCGGCAAGGATGGAGACTGGACTTTTACAGTCAGCTAACCCCCTTGCCTCGGGAAAATGACACTCATAGATTGTTAACAGAAAAGGGCTCATGATCTCATGGCGCAGTGTAACATGAATACCCCACTCAGACACAGTATACTGACTCCGAGCCGACCAGTCCTTGTTTTATCTCCTTAATGTCGAGCGCCAGGCAGGGTAACAACAAGAACTATCTTTTGACGTCTTTTGAAATGTGTGGCCAGGTGACCGATCGATCTATGCACTAGTCCAAGGAGGCGGTTGGTTGGTAACAGAAACTGAGAAGAGTAAATATGAGGGAAAATATGAGACACAAGTACTGTCAGCACAGCGTACGAGAGTACGAGGGGCGTTCAATAAGTTTTTCAACTATAAGTCGCAGAATATCTTTTGCACTTTTATTTTCAATATATTCTCCATTCACCTCAATACACTTATTCCATTTGTCCTTCAAGCTTTTAATACCACTTTAATAGAAATCCGCAGACTGGCCCTCTAACCACGCCTCTGTGGCAGCCTTTATGTCCTCGTCATCCAGGAAGCATCTTCCACGTAGGGCAGATTTCATTTGCCGGAACAGGAAATAGTCACTGGGGGCTAAGTCTGGGCTGTAGGATGGGTGATTTAACTGTTCGAATCCACATTCACATATGCGGCCTGTGCAATTTTCGACTTGTGAACCGGAGCGTTGTCATGCAAAAGTAGAAGACCACGTGTTAACATCCCACGGCGTTTCTGGCGAATAGATTTTCGCAATTCTTTCATTACATTAGCATAATACTGTCAATTGATTGTAGCTTTTGGTGGCATGTAATCAATCAGGAATATGCCTCTTGCATCCCAAAATATGGTGGCCATTACCTTGCCAGCCGATGGTTGAGTGCGAAACTTCCTTGGAGGCGGATAATTGGGGTGCTTAAATTGCATGGATTCCAATTTAGTTTCTGGGTCCCAGTGGTGGATCCATGTCTCACCACCTGTCACTAGACGAGCAAGAAATCCGACTCCATCAGCAGTATAGAGATCCAGGAGGTCTCGACAACTTTCAGTTCTCTGATCGCGATCTTGAGCTCTGAGGTTTCTAGGTACCCATCTTGCAGATACCTTGGACTTACCAAGATGCTCATAAATAATGGTAACAACAGTTCCAGTTGATATTTGGGATTCCCTAGAAAGTTCGGATACTTTCACTCGTCGGTCAGACAAAATTACTCTTTCTACAGCAGCAATGGTTTCCGGTTGGGTGGCATCTGAAGGCCTGTCTGACCTTGGGTCATCGTCTATGGACTCCCTACCTCTTTTAAACCAACGGCAAACTGTGGAATAGTCAGGAGCATCCTTAGCCATCACTTTACACATGCGATCGTGCAATTCTTTTGTTTTGCATCCCTCCTTGGTAAGGAACTTGATTACAGCGCGTTGTTCATGTTTGAGAGAATCCATGATTGTGACCATCCTTGGTGAATGAAGCCATCACATCTAACTTATTGTTGTGTCTGGAACTTGTCATGATACGTGTCAACCTGATGTTGTGACTAGTGTCACACCTGCCACAAGTTGACATTGTTTGTGTAAACAATTATGCCCAAGTTGCAAAACGTATTGAACGCCCCTCGTATGTCGTAATCGAACAAGCGATAAAATATATTATAACGGGGCTTGAATAGCACAAACCTCGCGAACACCTGGTGTCATCACTGCGTTTTAGTGATCCATTTATATTTGTTTACAGCTATTTTGGCTTTTACGCGCAATAGAACCGAAACTGGTTATTCTCTGGCGTTGACGTTTCACATTATATTTGAACAGTGATCTTGAAGGGCTTACCCAACTGGGATGTCCTGCCACATTTAACTGACACCTAGTAACTCAAGTTGTAATTAACACCCAACTGCCTGATTCACTAATCGTGTGAAAGAAAGTGAACGCGAGTCACAGGAAGGTGTTTTTCTAGTATAGGAAATATTGGAAGGCTCGACATACTATTTGTGTGACCAGTCGGCGTGATTTGTTTTTCTAGGGGAAACACCCGTGGAGTTCCTCTGTTTAATAAGGGCGAACCGTGTTCACAGTGCCCCCCTGGTAGGGTCTGTGTCGACAAGCTATGCGGTGAGTGACGGCGTTGTCTTAGAATGATTATGTACAATGAATAAAAAAATGGAACTCTTCAGTGATAACTGTAAACTAACATACAACGCTGTTACATGTGATCATTCTCAGGTGTTGACATCCGGCATTATGAACTGTCGTGTCAGTAAGACATGCCTATTTTCGAGAACACCTGGTGTCTTCACTGATCTTCAGTGACCAATGCATCTAAATTTTACCACTGTTTTGCCATTCACGGCCAATGGAATCTTTTTCGGCATATACTAGAGACTGGTTATTCTCTGGCGTTGACGTTTTATTTCGTAACCAATATTCACCTTTTAGTATGTTGAAGTGTAACCGAACGTTAAGTACAAACGAGACTGTATTAGACGTGGTATATTCTGTTGACTTTACCACACTTACCACTTCTTGTTAGTCGTCTCACAGCCTAGATAGGCATTTCTCGATGAACATTCCACAAGGCCGAACATACGTAGAAAGATGAGTTGGTCGAAATTTTCATGAGTTACATTGGAAAGAGCGGTGGTTAAAACGTTCGCTCGTCGCGTCAACTCATTGTCGCCATATTGCTGGAATATTGCTTAAAACGGCGTAAAAACACTGACTCATTATGAGAATAGATTATATGGATAAATACATTCACACTTTCTTCTTAAGCCCTTCCGAACTGCAATAACATCTCCTGTCAAAATGGCGGCCAGCTGATCCAAGACGTCTGCATGTGCAACTGTACCAACACCGGATACGGAGGTGAAACATGCCAGACAAGACTATTCGGTGAGAAGGAAGGCCCTAGTGGCCACCCAGACAATGGAGAGAGTGCCGGTCTAAACATTGGTGGAGACTATTTAAACTGGGGAATGCCTGATAGTGGCGGGAGCTCCTTTGTTCATTCCTTGCTGAAGACGTCTGTTTGCATGTGCTCTGTTGTAGTTACCCTGTTTCTGTTAGGATGAATACCCAGCATGTACATCCTGGTGCCCTATGCATGATGAGGTAACAATGTGCATGTTCTCGCTTTCCTTACCTCTTTTGATTTATGTCTGTAAAGAATCGTTTTTATTTCAATATATTTTTCATGCTATGCTTACCTTACAATTTAAGTTTACTGTCTGAATTTGTGTTTGAATTGTTAACCTACATCCAATATATTTGCATGTTCTAGCTTACAGTTAATCATCTTTTAATTACAAACATAGGATAAGATAAGCTGTAAGCCTACATCCGGAGGATGAATAGTCAGGTGTAAACGCCTTTCTTGGTGACAAACTCTCACTCAGAGAGTGTATACATTGTGTATTATAGCTTAAATGGATAAAATTATCATTAAACCCCACCCATGTTATCAGAAATGTGCGGACCACTGTAATATGATGATGCCCTCATATTGCTTGACGACGGGCCATTATCACGCCCGTTGTTAAGTGACGACATATTGATATATAAGGGTAACGCTACTTTTATTCTTTCATTAACTGCCCGACGAAGGAGGCTTCTGCAAATGACAATGCCCTGAAAAATAGCATTACCGTTATTATAGCTAAAATGGATGGAATTTGTTATCAAGTAAAACGAAACAACAATATCGGTTTTGAAACATTTACTGCAATCAACACGAATGTCACTGACCCACTTTTACAAATATGGAAACGTCATAGAACAAACCAGATGTCGTCACTGTTGAACGTGACGTCACCTATCCCTATCCTATGACGTCACCTAACAACGGGGGTGATAATGGCCCGTCGTCAAGCAATATGAGGGCATTATCAAATAACAGTGGCCCGCTCATTTCTGATAACATGCGGGCGGTTTAATGATAATTCTATCCATTTTAGCTATAATAAAGGGTAACACTATTTTTCAGGGCATTATCATTTTGAGAAGCCCGAGGTCTTCCATTCACTGCCCGACGAAGGAGGGTGGTTGAAAAGACCGAGGGCTTCTGCAAATGATAAGGCCCTGAAAATCGTGTTACCGTTATTATAGCTGAAAGAGATTGAATTTGTTATCAAATAAAAAGAAACAACAATATCGGTTTTGAAACATTTACTGCAGCCCTCACGAATGTCAATGACCCACTTTTACAAATATGGAAACGTCATAGAACAAACCAGATGACGTCATTATTGAACGTGACGTCACCTATCTCTATCCTATGACGTCACCTTACAACGGAATGACTTCGGGCTTCTGCAAATGACAATGCCCTCATGATAATACCGTTACCCTTATAGTAGGTCACATTTATCATATGTTACTGTGTAGGAAGAACAGTTCGTGGTATCATGACCCTCAAAATAATTTCACTGAAACTGTTGAGAACTATGTCGTCGTTACCGCATACATCGTCATTTACAGATTTCCTCAGTAGTCAGACGCAATTCAATTGTTGTCACTACGTATATATGATAAATTCATGGTCGTTTTGAAACCATTGTTGTGATAACAAAGATGTAAATAACAATTTTGAAAATACCTCGGTGATAATGTACGTCAATCTGAGGACATAGACTCGATCCGTGTTTTGAATTTTGTTCTGTACGTAGTTTTAAGAAATACAAAAAACTCCCATTGACGTCAAAAACCAACAATGTCAGGAATACTTTTTGCACATCGATGTACCCGTCTGTGCAGGTAAATCTGCGCATGTTAATTTCTTAAAGATGAATTTCAAAGATCTTTAAAGAAAGACTAACATCTTCCTTTTGACGATCTCTAAGGTGATACAGTTAACCTCATGCCATTTACACACGCTTGAAAGTCACATGAAAATCTGTGCAGGTGGCACTTTTCCGCCATGTTTTCATGGAAAACTAACATACAAAGCGTATTTAGACAACAAACGTATTTGATGAACTGTGATGCAGTATCCTAATATAATGTCAATTACCAAATCGTTTAAAAAAATTCTCTTCAACTTTTAATAGAAAGGAACATTTCTTACAGTAACTGAACTGTGATGTGTACGTTCGTGTTTCATAAATATTTGTCCCTCAGTAGACGTATTTGTGATGTAGTGCCATAAGCAATGATTACTTAAATAACATTTCCCCTAAATGAAACGCCTTGTGATGTTAGGTGAAGTCGATTGAAAAAAGTGTCTTCTGATATAAGAGAAATCATAATATTATACTTTCCACGAATCAAACCCGCCAATATTGTAGTTTTTTATATGTATGTTGAGAATCGTTTGGTATCAATTGTATTTGATATTCAAACATATATGTCACACAAAAAGGAAACGTATATTTTGCAATTATTTTGGAATAGCGTTACAGTTGGTTTAGCCAAGATTACAAATGTTGTACTCACACCAATGCACTAGTTTCACTCTTTTCACATGCCTGAGATTGTTGTACATTTAAAAGAGCTGTCGGTTATTGTCAGTGTTTCTATGACGCAATCACATCCTAGGATCTGCCGATCTTTTGACGGTGATAAAGTTTTGTTTATTTGTCATATTTAATGTTGTTTGTGTTCCTTGTTCTATAAACAGACTTGGATGTAATTAATTCGTCCATTCCGTACACACGATTACCGTACTGGTGTCCCAATCTTAGAGCAAAGTGATGCTATAATACTGTAGGGAGTGACTTTCAAGATGTTGGAATGTGTCCTGACTATCCATCACCTACAACACGTTCAGCTGTCGTACTGGGGTGAAATGAGGTTTAACGTTGCGTCCAATATATTTACACTCACGTTTATACATGTGTATATGTGTGTGCGTGTGTGTATGTGTGTGAATGTGTGTGTGTGGTTGCTTGTACTAGTCCGAACTAAAGCCGAGGTTTTAGTGCAAGCCGACTGAGATACAATGGCGCAGTGTAACATGAATATCCCAGTCAGACACAGGTGAGGTGAGGTGAAAAGGGGTTTAACGTCGCTTCCAAGATTATTGCACTTATATAGCGACGTGCATGTACGTCTCAGACACAGTATACTGACCCCGAGTCCCTTAATGCCGAGCGCCAGGCAGGATAACAACAAGTATGATCTTTTATCGTCCATTGGTATGGTATAAGTGTGTGAGATTCAGGGTCCATAAACACATACGTTTTTTAAGTACAGTACGGTAGCCGATTTAGTGACTGAACACAGCTTTAACACGTCCATTTTGTGTCAAACAATGCATGAAAGCGCCCATTTTGTTTGAGCGCACATCCTGTGCATGTCCATTTTGTGACACCGTACATCCTGTACATAGCAATTTTGTGACACCACACATCCTGTGCACGCCCATTTTGTGACACCACACAGCCTCTAAGCGTCAATTCTATGCCACCACACAGCCTGTACATGTCCATTTTGTGACACAACACAGCCTGTGCACACCCATTTTGTGACATCGAACAGCCTGTACACGCCAATTTTGTGACAGAGCACAGCCTGTTCACGCCCATTTTGTGACAGCACACAGCCTGTACACATCTATTTTGTGACACAACACATCCTGTGCACACCCATTTTGTGACACCACACATCCTGTGCATGTCCATTTTGTGATACCACACAGCGTGTACATGTCCATTTTGTGACAGCACACAGCTTGTTCACGCCCATTTTGTGACAGCACACAACCTGTACACGTCTAGTTTGTGACACCACACATCCTGTGCACACCCATTTTGTGACATCAAACAGCCTGTACACGCCCATTTTGTGACAGCACACAGCCTGTACACGCCCATATTGTGAAATCACACAGCCTGTACATGTCCACCTTGTGACACCACACAACCTGTACACGCCCTTTTTGTGACAGCACAGAGCCTGTACATATAAATTTTATGACAGCACACAACCTGTACATATCAATTTTATGACACCACACAGCCTGTACACGTCCATTTGTTGACACCACACAACCTGTACATATCAATTTTATGACAGCACACAGCCTGTACAAGTCCATTTTGTGACACCACACAACCTGTACATATCAATTTTATGACACCACACAACCTGTACATATCCATTTTGTGACACCACACAACCTGTACACGTCCATTTTGTGACAGCACAGAGCCTGTACATGTCAAGTTTGTGACACCACACATCCTGTACACGTCCATTTTGTGACACCACACATCCTGTACATGTCCATTTGTTGACACCACACAGCCTGTACATATCAATTTTATGACAGCACAGAGCCTGTACATATCAATTCTATGACAGCACACAACCTGTACATATCAATTTTATGACAGCACACAGCCTGTACACGTCCATTTTGTGACACCACACAGCCTGTACACGTCCATTTTGTGACACCACGCAACCTGTACATATCAATTTTATGACACCACACAACCTGTACATATCCATTTTGTGACACCACACAACCTGTACACGTCCATTTTGTGACACCACACATCCTGTTAACGCCCATTTTGTGACACCACACATCCTATACATGTCAATTTTCTGACACCACACAACCTGTACATGTCCATTTTGTGACAGCACACAGCCTGTACATGTCAAGTTTGTGACACCACACAACCTGTACACGCCCCTTTTGTGACACCACACAACCTGTACACGCCCATTTTGTGACACCACACATCCTGTACATATCAATTTTATGACAGCACACAGCCTGTACATGTCAAGTTTGTGACACCACACAACCTGTACACGCCCCTTTTGTGACACCACACAACCTGTACATGTCAATTTTGTGACACCACACAACCTGTACACGCCCCTTTTGTGACACCACACAACCTGTACACGTCCATTTTGTGACAGCACACAGCCTGTACACGCCCCTTTTGTGACACCACACAACCTGTACACGCCCCTTTTGTGACACCACACAACCTGTACATGTCAATTTTGTGACACCACACAACCTGTACACGCCCCTTTTGTGACACCACACAACCTGTACACGCCCCTTTTGTGACACCACACAACCTGTACATGTCCATTTTGTGACACCACACATCCTGTACATGTCAATTTTGTGACACCACACAACCTGTACACGCCCCTTTTGTGACACCACACATCCTTTTAACGCCCATTTTGTGACACCACACATCCTGTACACGTCCATTTTGTGACAACACGCAACCTGTACACGTCCATTTTGTGACACTACACAACCTGTACACGCCCCTTTTGTGACAACACACATCCTTTTAACGCCCATTTTGTGACACCACACATCCTGTACATGTCCATTTGTTGACACCACACAGCCTGTACATATCAATTTTGTGACAGCACAGAGCCTGTACATATCATTTTTTTGACAGCACACAACATGTACATATCAATTTTACGACAGCACACAGCCTGTACACGTCCATTTTGTGACACCACACAACCTGTACATATCAATTTTATGACACCACACAACCGGTACACGCCCCTTTTGTGACAGCACACATCCTATACATGTCCATTTTATGACACCACACAGCCTGTGCACGCTCTTTTTGTGACACCACACAGCCTGTACACGCCCATGTTGTGACACCACACAGTCAGCGTACGCCCATTTTGTGACACCACACAGCCTGTAAATATCAAGTTTGTGACACCACACAGCCTGTACACGCCCTTTTTGTGACAGCAAAGAGCCTGTACACGCCCATGTTGTGACAGCACACATCCTCTTATCAAAATTGTGACAGAGCTGTCGGCCTGTACAAGTTCATAGTGTTCCCTGGTCGAATAATGTCATGAATGACTTGTAGAATATCAGAACGCTTAACCTGTAGTCAGTGTATGTCAGTAGAGAAAGAAAATGCATGACCTGTAGAATGTGAGGGTGAGTGTTCTGTAGAATATGAGCATGCATGACCTGTAGAATGTGAGGGTGAGTGTGTGTTCTGTAGAATATGAGAATGCATGACCTGTAGAATGTGAGGGTGAGTGTTCTGTAGAATATGAGCATGCATGACCTGTAGAATGTGAGGGTGAGTGTTCTGTAGAATATGAGCATGCATGGCCTGTAGAATGTGAGGGTGAGTGTTCTGTAGAATATGAGCATGCATGACCTGTAGAATGTGAGGGTGAGTGTGTGTTCTGTAGAATATGAGCATGCATGACCTGTAGAATGTGAGGGTGAGTGTTCTGTAGAATATGAGCATGCATGACCTGTAGAATGTGAGGGTGAGTGTTCTGTAGAATATGAGCATGCATGACCTGTAGAATGTGAGGGTGAGTGTGTGTTCTGTAGAATATGAGAATGCATGACCTGTAGAATGTGAGAGTGCAAGTATATCAGCTGCACTCTCTGTAGTATGTCAGCTGCACTCTCTGTAGTATGTCAGCTGCACTCTCTGTAGTATGTCAGCTGCACTCTCTGTAGTATGTCAGCTGCACTCTCTGTAGTATGTCAGCTGCACTCTCTGTAGTATGTCAGCTGCAACTCTGTAGTATGTCAGCTGCACACTCTGTAGTATGTCAGCTGCACTCTCTGTAGTATGTCAGCTGCACACTCTGTAGTATGTCAGCTGCACTCTCTGTAGTATGTCAGCTGCACTCTCTGTAGTATGTCAGCTGCACTCTCTGTAGTATGTCAGCTGCACTCTCTGTAGTATGTCAGCTGCACTCTGTAGTATGTCAGCTGCACTCTCTGTAGTATGTCAGCTGCACTCTCTGTAGTATGTCAGCTGCACTCTCTGAAGTTTGTCAGCTGCACTCTCTGTAGTATGTCAGCTGCACACTCTGTAGTATGTCAGCTGCACTCTCTGTAGTATGTCAGCTGCACTCTCTGTAGTATGTCAGCTGCACTCTCTGTAGTATATCAGCTGCACACTCTGTAGTATATCAGCTGCACACTCTGTAGTATATCAGCTGCACTCTCTGTAGTATATCAGCTGCAACTCTGTAGTATGTCAGCTGCACACTCTGTATGCACTCTCTGTAGTATGTCAGCTGCACACTCTGTAGTATGTCAGCTGCACTCTCTATAGTATGTCAGCTGCACTCTCTGTAGTATGTCAGCTGCACTCTCTGTAGTATGTCAGCTGCACTCTGTAGTATGTTAGCTGCACTCTCTGTAGTATGTCACCTGCACCCTCTGTAGAATGTCAGCTGCACACTCTGTAGTATGTCAGCTGCACTCTCTGTAGTATATCAGCAGCACACTCTGTAGTATGTCAGCTGCACACTCTGTAGTATGTAAGCTGCACTCTCTGTAGTATGTCAGCTGCACTCTCTGTAGTATGTCAGCTGCACTCTCTGTAGTATATCAGCTGCACAGTCTGTAGTATGTCAGCTGCACACTCTGTAGTATATCAGCAGTACACTCTGTAGTATATCAGCTGCACACTCTGTAGAATGTCAGCTGCACACTCTGTAGTATGTCAGCTGCACACACTGTAGTATGTCTGCTACACTCTCTGTAGTATGTCAGCTGCACTCTCTGTAGTATGTCAGCTGCACAGTCTGTAGTATGTCAGCTGCAATCTCTGTAGTTTCTCAGCTTCACACTCTGTAGTATGTCAGCTGCACTCTCTGTTGTATGTCAGCTGCACACTCTGTAGTATGCCAGCTGCACGCTCTGTAGTATGTTAGCTGCTTCTCTGTAGTATGTCAGCTGCACTCTCTGTAGTATGTCAGCTGCACTCTCTGTAGTATGTCAGCTGCACTCTCTGTAGTATGTCAGCTGCACTCTCTGTAGTATGTCAGCTGCACTCTCTGTAGTATGCCAGCTGCACTCCCTGTAGTATATCAGCTGCACACTCTGTAGTATATCAGCTGCACACTATGTAGTATGTCAGCTGCACACTCTGTAGTATGTCAGCTGCACACTCTGTAGTATATCAGCAGTACACTCTGTAGTATATCAGCTGCACACTCTGTAGAATGTCAGCTGCACACTCTGCAGAATGTCAGCTGCACTCTCTGTAGTATGTCAGCTGCACTCTCTGTTGTATGTCAGCTGCACCCTCTGTAGTATGTCAGCTGCACTCTGTAGTATGTTAGCTGCACACTCTGTAGTATGTCAGCTGCACACTCTGTAGTATGTCAGCAGCACACTCTGTAGTATGTCAGCTACCATCTCTGTAGTATGTCAGCTGCACTCTCTGTAGTATGTCAGCTGCACACTCTGTAGTATATCAGCTGCACTCTCTGTAGTATATCAGCTGCACACTCTGTAGTATGTCAGCTGCACACTCTGTAGTATATCAGCTGCACACTCTGTAGTATGTCAGCTGCACACTCTGTAGTATATCAGCTGCACACTCTGTACTATGTCAGCTGCACACTCTGTAGTATATCAGCTGCACACTCTGTAGTATGTCAGCTGCACACTCAATAGTATGTCAGCTGCACACTCTGTACTATGTCAGCTGCACACTCTGTAGTATATCAGCTGCACACTCTGTAGTATGTCAGCTGCACACTCTGTAGTATGTCAGCTACCATCTCTGTAGTATGTCAGCTGCACTCTCTGTAGTATATCAGCTGCACACTCTGTAGTATATCAGCTGCACTCTCTGTAGTATATCAGCTGCACTCTCTGTAGTATGTCAGCTGCACACTCTGTAGCATATCAGCTGCACACTCTGTAGTATATAAGCTGCACACTCTGTAGTATGTCAGCTACCATCTCTGTAGTATGTCAGCTGCACTCTCTGTAGTATATCAGCTGCACACTCTGTAGTATATCAGCCTCACTCTGTAGTATATCAGCTGCACACTCTGTAGTATGTCAGCTGCACACTCTGTAGTATGTAAACTGCACACTCTGTAGTATGTCAGCTGCACACTCTGTAGTATGTCAGCTGCACTATCTGTAGTATGTCAGCTACCATCTCTGTAGCATGTCAGCTGCACTCTCTGTAGTATATCAGCTGCACACTCTGTAGTATATCAGCTGCACTCTCTGTAGTATATCAGCTGCACACTCTGTAGTATATAAGCTGCACACTCTGTAGTATGTCAGCTGCACACTCTGTACTATGTCAGCTGCACACTCTGTAGTATATCAGCTGCACACTCTGTAGTATGTAAACTGCACACTCTGTAGTAAGTCAGCTGCACACTCTGTAGTATGTCAGCTGCACTCTCTGTAGTATGTCAGCTGCACTCTCTGTTAACAATTAACTAAAGTGGGCCGCTTTTATTTAATTTACGCAATACACGTTTGTCAAAGTATCTGAAACTGGGTGTTTGGTACAACATTAGGCAAGCAAAGATGGCTACTTACATTGATTTTGTTAGAAGGAATTATAGGTAACACATTTTACGGTTCTGTCATTAGATAAAGGGATATACAGTAATTTAGAGTAATGTCGATTTCACAATAAAGTTATTCTTGTTATGATAAAGCATCGTATTTGTAATTGTCATTATTTTTCGAAGTAATGACTCCAGGGAAACTTGTCTTTGAGAAAGCTTCATGTAGAATAAGTATAGTCAATTGTGTATAGTAACGACCCATTATAGTCTAATATAGCATTCAGAGTTTACACGAACATGGACATGTCACTCAATCGCAATGAATTCTATTTGTATGCTTAAAACATCATCTATGTTTCAGTTACAGACGTTATATTTTATATTTATATTTGTTTTCTTTATATTGTAGGTTAATGAGCAACATAGAACCCAGAGTGATCACACGCATGAAGAAACTGATGTGAACAATTATCAATGATCATATATGATCATAATCTATCATTCCTTCTCTTTTTAGTCAATATCATTCTGAATTCCTTCAACATTTACATTTTTCTTGCTTGGATTCTACAATGACTTAAGAGCATTATTTTTCTCTCTGAGGTATCAATTCACAATAAGTTACTTCTAATTCTAGAAAACAGCATCCCTGCAAAACGGCGTTTCCTTAAAAGAACGTTTTGCTTTCCAGTCACGACGGACAGACAACCTACGCTATTGCTGGCAGCAAATGTAGGTTTCAAAAGAGCGAGTTGTCATTTTAGACTAATTAAATATTGCTGAGTAATACATTTTAAAAAGAAACGGTCGTCAAAAGTGACGTCATTGCAAATTAAAATAGATCTCAGGATCAAAAACTATACCCATTCAACCTTACGCTAGATTGAATGTGTACTCGTTTATTACACTATTTATTTGCCAATCCATATTGGATCCTTCCATTCTTCTGTCAACATATTCTTTGTGTTTGTATCAGTGTCGTTGGCCATTTTGGCGTTTTTGTTTTCAGTTGTTACCAGCTCCGCTTCACTTAATTTATGTCACCCTCTCATTGTGTCTGTGTTGTAATGTGCATTTACCTTGAATGTTTCTTGTCTAACAAATAAATAGTTTCGATAAAAATCCATACTTTGAGTCTGAAAGTTTAATTTGCTCAAATGTTGATCTTTACTTTCCAATGTAGAGCTGTTGAATTCTATATTCTTTTAATGTGACGTTTTGCTTATTTTGTCAAGCAGTCACACAGTACTAGCATCTGTGCAGAAACACCACATTGAAAGAATAAAGAAATACAAAGCTCAATCCTGTCTTCATGAGAATGTAAAGATCAACATCCACAGGTGACTGTGCCTTTCTCAAGCAGTCACACATCACTATTACCTGCGTCGAAACGTTGCATTGGAAGAATAAAGGCATTAAAATTCATATCAATTCTGTCTTCATTGATACTTCAGCTTCTAAATGCTGCTTGTGCGTCAACATCGTCCTGGATAATGATTGACAGTTTTTTTTGAATATTTTGACAGCTTGTAAACATTTATAAAAATGACAGTGCAGTCCGATTCGTTTAAACATTATAACATGGCTTACATTAACACAACAAAACTTTATTGCAAGTTAATATCGATCGAAAACACAACAATAAATCATACAAATAGATACATGTTTACACCGGATTAAATCACAGTTTTTGCTTACCACGTGTAATACAGTTCAGTGATCATGTCAATGATGCGTGGACTACGTCTTCAACGATTACTGAAAGACTGTTTATCATTTATTCGTTAGTAGTTGCACACATAATATTATTTAATGGATTAGTCAAATGAAATCATTTTTGTTTGGATTAATTGCTGCATATTTGTGCATCGTGTTAATCAAGACAAGTAAAAAAAGGAAAATCCTGAATGCGGAGTGATCATATAATGCTATAATCTACAAGCTTTATACATAATTTCAGAAACTATGCTACGTACACATGTTCATATGTTATTATGTCATGGAAAGGGACCATTTGTCAAATAGCTACGTGAAATAGCATGATTACACTTTAGCACAATATATTGCATGTGTGAAACTTCCTGATAATTGATATCAAAATAGATGACGACTTATACAGCACGCTGATACTCAGTACTAACTAGTGTCGTGGTGTTTTAATAAGACATGTGAATAATTCTAGCAAGTATTATTTAGACATATACTATTATAAACAAGTTGAGAACCAGCCAATTTTTTTCATATTCCTTTAGTATATCTGTCATGCCATGAAAGATTAAGTATAGCATTATTAAGGAATAGAGTGGTGCTTAACTTCTTTTGAGCAGTTTACATGCAAAATATAAACGTTAAAGCCTCCGGGTTATCATACCCTTATGTCACAAGGAAAGAAACAACATCATGGGAAAGGCACATTCGCGAATCATTGTAAATAATGCAGTGTTGCAGTAAGGGAGTCTTCACTTTCTCCGAAGAATTCTCGGTGGGTTTGACTAATAGTATGCAGCCTTTCCTTGGAGAAGTCCTATTCGCTGTCTGGGCTGCGTGGAGAGGGGGAAAGGGCCCTGAGCTGATGATGCGCCTAACCAGCCGGACTGTGCCAGGATGACCCAACCCTTCAGTGAGGGAAGTCTGCACAGACTTGAGAAATGTGCGCACGCTACTCCGTTATAATCTTAATATTGTGTATGGGGCAGGCAATAGGCCATTTCATACATGCATGACAACACACGAATATTTCCTACGTTTATCATCATTTTACCTATGACAGTACCTTTTCAGCGTAATCACAGCGTCGGGTAGGCTAGGCTAGTTAAGATAGATTTGCGTTATTTTGATATATGCTATTTTCATCTTTCGTATTTATTAAATGAAGCCAGAAAACTATTTTTCCAGTTTTTCTGACAGTACTTGAAGCAGTAAATAATGCCTACGCTACACTTTCATGAGGAGGGTGGCGGTGTGTTGGTGAGAAAATAATTTGTTCTCGAAGATACTGGGCTTATTAGTCTTAACTAATCTTTTTCATCATTGACTCAATCACATCAAGTTGCCGAAGACGACAGACAGAACCAAAATGTCACTGGTTATGGTCCAGGCAGTGGCTCCACTCCGTTCAGTGCCACGAGTTGTGGTTTCTCTACTACTACTCTGTGCCGTGTTGGAAGATGTTGTGCTTGTAGGTGTGGTTCCACTGCCGCCACTACCGCTGCTTTCACCTGGCGAAACATGTAACATCGTGATCAAAAAGGTTTTGTCTCCATACCATCCTGGTGCATGGTGACATCCCCCACTGCTGAGGACTGTAAGACCATGATGAAATGTTGTCTTGTCAAATCACTAGATATGAGTGATTATATCAATGCAAACACGCTTCTCTACTTTCAGTGGGACACGTGTGGCCCAGTCGTCTAAGGCGCCGCAATTCGCTATGCAGAGTTGCGTCCCAACGGCACGACAAGAATCCCATGGTCGTTGTTTCGCCCCGACTATGTTATTTGGCATGTCAGCACCTTACCCATGCTCGTGGGTTTCACCATAGTGGTTTGCGTCAGTGGCCTGCATCATGTCCCCCCACATGAATCTGACACCGTGATATAACTGGAATACTGTTCAAAGCGGCGTTAAACCCAACTCACTTCCTCACTGCTTTCAACACCAGTGATCTCAAAATCTCCGAAATGTGACATGATGAGATATATCAGTCCACGTAACACAACCATGCATAGGAACAGAGCTATGTCATTATGCAACCCTTGTATCTTTGAGTACGCGAAACGTGTTTTCTACTTTAGTTTGAGAAGGTGAATGTGTGAATGAGTGAATATCGGCCTGATGCTGCTGTTCACTTTGTAGGAAACCGCTAATGGGAAATCGAACCCGGATTTCAAGTGTGACTTACGAACGTTTAAATACAAGGCTACCTTATGTTATATGTTTGACAAGTTCGATGTGTTTCATGGTACTCACGACATAGTTTGTTTTCACACGTTTGCCGATCTGCTGGACACTGGCTGCATGACGCTCCCTCCTTGTACGGCTTTTCACCTCTGAAGTTTCCTCTGAAAGATACAATGAGTATTGATTAGCAATGTTAGAATCACTGAAATGGCAATCTTTCTGGTTTCTTACTGGGAGATATTGAATTCAGAACTAGAATTGTTTTTGTCAAGGCTTCAGAGTGAGTGAATCTTTTAACGCCACAGGTCAGAAAGTTTCCAGGCACATCTCGGCGGCTTCCAACCACATCTAAAAAAGACATTAAATAGACATTAAACACACATTAATGTACACATATTTTAAAGTAAAGCTTTACTCACGCCGGAAGGTAGTTGCAGATGACGACGTATCCGTTCGTGATTGTCGATCCTTCTATGGTGCTGCAGAACTTGATCCCACACCCGATCTTGTAACTACTCGCCCATATCACCTGCAAGTAGACATCGAGTGGAAACAAGCCAATGAAGATCCGGTGAATTGTTAACTCCATATATTAAATCTCAATGGTATTTAAATCAGTTTGTTTCACCACAACATAACCCCTTAAACTCCCCAAAAAGAAAATACCTAACAAAACATATATATATATATATAAAAATATATAAAAAATAAAAACCTTCTCCCCTTCATTTGTAATATGTCATTATTGGTATATCAGCCAAGATTAAATATACAGAGCATTCGGTTATTAAAAATAATTAATACACGAACCAAACAAACCACACAAAACAAATAGACAAGACACATGTATCAGACCAAAGAAACATCCCGCCCCACCTGATCAACACAGACAAAAAAGCAAAGTACCAAACAAAATACAACAAAAGCCATATAAAAAATGATACAAACACGCCTCCATCAGTAATATGTCATCATTGGTATATGATATTAACATCAGCCAAAATTAAATATACAGCGCTTTTGGTGATTAAAACAGTTAATGGTATTATTAACAATTTCATATTTGCCATTTACTTAAAAAAGAACTACCACTGCCAGACAGGACCGCCCTTGTTGCCGACAACTCGAAATATTTGCTGTTAAATTTACCTGTCGGTGTAATGACCGCCTTTGTTGTTGCCGACTATTCGACATATTCGCTGTTAAATTTACCTGTGTGTAATGACCGCCTTTGTTGGTGCCGACTACTCGACATATTTGCTGTAGTAATTTACCTGTGTGTAATGGCCGCAGGTTGCACTGCAGGTGTTGGAACTGTAGGTGTAGTCAGATACCTCGTTATACCAACTTGTCACTGACGAAACCTCGTTGTAAGATGCTGAGACATAATACATACCATATTTCAGCACGACAGTGGTCATTATGTGATTCATAAATAGACAAGAGAGATGGAAACACAATGTATAATTACAATTATTAACGTTAATAAATATTGGATAGAGATTGAAAATAATCAAAAACAAATGAAACGATAATAATAAATGAAAGTTTACACTTTTAAAATGGTTTTGTACATTAATAAAATAGTCATCAAGGGTTTCTCTATGATATCTGACGTAAGCTTCACAAATAGCGGATTCGGCCTTTTTCTCTTAGCAAGCACATTAGACATGAATGTGAGTTTAAACGGCTTTCCTTCCAAATTGATAGTGTATGAGACGTACGAGCCTTGATGCTTAAGTTTTCGCCGATGGGACTGGTTGATGAAGCAATTGTTCTGTTCGGGTTGTGGGCGAATTTACACTGGGCCGCCCAGCCCTGTGCTAGAGCCTCCAGTTCGTTGTCCCAGGACTGCAGAGAGAAAATACAATACACAAATGGAAGTCTGTGTTGATTGTTGGATGTAAAGCGATCGGGGTGCGGTTACTCAATTACACATAGAACATGATCTTGAGAATGCAGATCATGGACATCCAATAGATTTATTATATTATTGTCATCCGCACTTCCTTACAGTTTTATCCTATATTCGGTATAAAACCCATAAATTCAGCAAGAATTATGTTTTAATGCAAAAGCTTCTATCACAAACTTTGTACAGATCATTAAAATATTCTTACGATTGCAAGTTAATAACAAATTGAATTTACTCACGTTAGGGCTATTCCAATAATATTTAGGGATATATTTTGATCTTAAGGTTGTGAAATATGGCCATACCAATACAAAGTGGTACTCATCTTCCATTATTCCCCAAATACACAGTTTACAGAGTCGAATACAACGACTACACCAGTTCGTCTTTCAACATTTATCATTAATGGCGTTTCCACATTATTTAATAAACACAAAAGCCGTCCATGTTCACGAACCGTGAATGTGGTGAATGTAATACTCAAATTCTATAAGTGATTTGTATTCTTGATTCACAAACATTTGAATACCAGTCTCTTAATCTTTGTAAAAAGTTATTTAAAAATACAAGATTATCCCCAACTTCTTGTGTTATCCATACAACACCATAACCGTAGGTAAACAATAATCTTTTTACATTTAAAACCCAAGTTACACGATTGTATTGATCTAAAGTTAGACATAACATGTAACATTGTTTTGGATATCTGTTTTTAGCCATTGACAACAATTTCAGCCAATATTAGATATATCTCTTGTGATAGTCAACAAATAAACAGTGTCTATCACATTCACAAAGGGGGACACGGGTGGCCCAGTGTTCTAAGGCGCCGCGATACTCTGTGCAGAGTTGCGTCACTTGGCATGGGCACGCCATAAAACTATGATTGTGGGTTCGAATCCCAGTTCGCCCAAATTACGTTTCTAGGTTTGTCAGCACCATACCCGTACTCGTGGGTTTCACCGAAGTGGTGAACGTTTGAGACCTGTTTTACTTCGCGCTTTCCTCACACATTAAGCTGACACGCCATGATATAACTGGGATAATGTTAAAAGCGGCGTTAAACCCAACTCACACACTCACATTCACAAAGTACAGCCACATTTGAAACATGATTGCTCACAACTATCACATACGTGCCAAAGTTAATCTGAAACCGCTCGATATAATCCCCAGTGTCCCCATACTTCATACAGTCATATTGGTTCAGTCTGGGTATCAAACATTTTAAATAGGACATACGGTGAAATATCCTTAAACTTGTTACTGTAACTGTTCAACGGGAACTAAAGCTTCATTAGCTTTATGAACAAGAATATTAATTCCTTTCGACCAAAAGCCTATTTGAAAACAGCAACCGAAGAAAATTATAATACGTAGATATTTTACATGTTTATTTCCATACACTCATTCTTCAGTGTACCACCATTCTGAAAATCTAAGATTTCTGTCTTATCTAAATTAACAATTCAGGTAATCCCCATTTAATACTTCATTCTTTGAGAACATTAATTCTTCTTTATAAACCAATCACGGCGTCCTCAAACAGGTAAAACTTTCTTTAATATGGTATACCAAAGCAATTATTATATATACAGAGACAAATGCTTTTCTGAAATCTACAAATATATCTACCATTACTCTTCGACGGACACTTTAGTACTAAACGCTGTAATACAAATATATTATCAACAGTACTTTAACCATCTCTAAATCCAGCCAGCGATTCTGGAATTTTGTCATGTACATCGCAAAAAGTAGTTAATCTTTTGTTCAATATAGAATTAAATGCTTTACCCATAACATCGCTTAGGGTAATACCTCAGTAGTTGTGACCTCTGTTTTTCTTGTCTTTCTTGTGTAATGGTATAATTAATTCTTTCGTCCATTCCACGTTAAAATTCCCACTATTCAGAATTAAACATAACATAGAAAGATGGTAAATATTCAGCTTTACGACACCTAATCACCTCTGGTGTGATTGCAGGAGGCCCTGGCTCTTTGCACTCTCTCAGATTATCAATAACCTCTACAATTTCAGTGTTAGATATTTCACAGTTGAGAATAATATTGACGTCATCGTCCTTGCAAACATAACAAATGTCCTAATTGTGGTATATTAAATACTGTTCCGCCTCTCCCAGATGACCTTGGGCAATATACTATTTAATGATATCCAAAACCGACTCAAAATACGACGACCATTCGTAGCTGATATCGTAATTTGTACACATGCGTCAATTTGACGCATCAAGAACAAAAATGATGTCTGATACAATTCCCTATTTTAACTTGTACCTTATGTTCCCCTTATTTTTTCGGTGGACAATTGACTTGTCTTTGCATGTGTTTGTGTTGGGTGCCACCGTTGGGACAGGATACGCTCACCTGGTATCATTACTATTTGATAGTGATTCACAAACATATGCTCATGATGTAGTAGGAATCGTACAATAGACTCTGAATATGTGCTGGTAGCGCTGCGTGGCAGACACCTATAGGATTAACAGATGCAGGTAGTGCTGCCAGGGCGACATCTATAGGATTAACAGATGCAGGTAATGTTGCGCGGCCGACACCTGTAGGATAAACAGATGCAGGTCGTGTTGCCAGGCCCACACCTATAGGATTAACAGATGCAGGTCGTGTTGCCAGGTCCACACCTATAGGATTAACAGATGCAGATCGTGTTGCCAGGCCCACACCTATAGGATTAACAGATGCAGGAAGTGTTGCGCGGCCGACACCTGTAGGATTAACAGATGCAGGTCATGTTGCCAGGCCCACACCTATAGAATTAACAAATGCAGGTCGTGTTGCCAGGTCCACACCTATAGGATTAACAGATGCAGATCGTATTGCCAGGCCCACACCTATAGGATTAACAGATGCAGGAAGTGTTGCGCTGCCGACACCTATAGGATTAACAGATGCAGGTAGTGCTGCCAGGCCGACACCTACAGCATTAACAGATGCAGGTAGTGTTGCCAGGCCGTCACCTGTAGGATTAACAGATGCAGGTAGTGCTGCCAGGCCGACACCTATAGGATTAACAGATGCAGGTAGTGCTGTCAAGCCGACACCCATAGGATAAACAGATGCAGGTAGTGCTGCCAGGCCGACATCTACTAGATTAACAGATGCAGGTAATGTTGCGTGGCCGACATCTATAGGATTAGCAAATGCAGGTAGTGCTGCCAGGCCGACATCTACTAGATTAACAGATGCAGGTAATGTTGCGCGGCCGACATCTATAGGATTAGCAGATGCAGGTAGTGTTGCCAGGCCGACACCTATAGGATAAACAGATGCAGGTAATGTTGCGCGGCCGACACCTGTAGGATTAGCAGATGCAGGTCATGTTGCCAGGCTCACACCTATAGGATTAACAGATGCAGGTAGTGTTGCGCGGCCGACATCTATAGGATTAACAGATGCAGGTAGTGCTGTGCGGCCGACATCAACAGGATTAACAGATGCAGGTAGTGCTGCCAGACCGACATCTATAGGATTAACAGATACAGGTAGTACTGCCAGGCCAATAATTATATGGTCATTATATCGTGTGTGTTTCACAAACCATTCGTGTCGGAAAATAAGCTGAAGTGCAAGGTGAACAATAAGACAATAAGAACAATCAGAAAAACCTGCATTCAACAATATTTCAGCTGTAAGACGGCGAGCTGTAAATAGAAGAAACTGCACAAGACCAAACCGTGAATGAGCAATTTACGATTTTGAGATGCTATGAGCAACCTCGCAAAGCATCAGGAACACATCCGTGGTCTTCCCGGAGATTGGCAGGTCGGGCATTCGATCATACTAAAAGACGTAACGTTAAAAGATGGTACTTGTTGTTACCCTGCCTGGCGCTTGGTATTAATCGGATAAAACAAGGACTGGTCGGGGTGGGTCTGTAACCTGTGTCTAAGTGGGTACTAGTATTCATGTCAAACCTGCGGCATGGTATCTCAGTGGGCTAGCAAAAAAAAAATGCATCAACGCGCAATAATCTTGAACCGACGTTAAACCCCATTTCCCCTCACCTCACCTCACCTCACCTCATCTCACCTTCCCAGACCTCGTCTCGCCTCGCCTCACCTTGCCTCATCTCATCTCACCTCACCTCACCTCATCTCACCTCAACTCACCTTCCCAGACCTCGTCTCGCCTCGCCTCACCTCACCTCAACTCAACTCACCTTCCCAGACCTCGTCTCGCCTCGCCTCACCTTGCCTCATCTCACCTCACCTAACCTCACCTCACCATCGGGGAACGATGACACGCAATCACCCAAGCCACAAAGCCTGACCACCGGATTCACTTCGATGCCTCTTACTACGAGCATACACAGCTTTAATTTTAAATTTTATGCACGATACTAATAACATTTTCGAAATCCTTTCAATTGTGAGTGAGTGAGTATGGTTTGACGCCGCTTTTTGCAATATTCCAGCAATATCACGGCGGGGGACACCATAAATGGGCTTCACACATTGTACCCATGTCGGGAATCGAACCCGGATCTTCGGGGTCAACCACTAGGCTACCCGACCGTCCCTCCTCATGAGTGCACTAATCCTTGTTCATGGCAGCTATAACATTCCATTTCGGTTGACTATACATGATCCATGCCAAATGGTCATATCAAACCTATTTAGGGTGAAATCCCCTTTGAGTAAATATATGGCTGAGATCAGAGTGAAATTGATTGAACGCCATAATACAGTTTGTAAACGTGACGTAAGAATTATAAATAACAACACACTTTCAAAGGACAACATTCTAGGGCGAGCAAATACGTCTCAATATGTATATAAGCAAAAAACTCCCGTGTGTGTCGGGACCTTTCAACGTCAACAACGGGGCATGGTTTACAGGTAGATGTAAATGCATCTTTAAAAGTATCTCATAAAAAATGGAAATCTTAACCACCTGAGTAAATGCCTCCGCCAATTAAATTGTAAACTATTCACCAAATCGCCTCCCCTTTATGGCGATGGCTGTGTTGTTGCTATAAACACCCAGCCAAACATTTCCGTTCAAGTGTTTACTGATCGACCGAACTCCAGAGAAACGTTATAGCATTGGACGCAAAAATGATTGATTGGTTTTTACGAAACTACCTTAACGTGACAAATGTGACTCACAGTCGAACAACGTGAACGAGCCTTGGGTATGGTACAGATGGGAGCCACCCACGCCCATATTGCACGAACCTTCGGTTGCTCCCGTGTTGCCGTTACCAACTTGATGCAACGTGACAGACAGACAGGGCGAACCGCTGACAGGCCAAGAACAGGCAGACCCAGGGTGCCCACGCCCCATGATGACCGGTCCTTGCGTACCTTGCACCTCCGAAATCGCTTCCTGACGGTGACGTCATCGGAGGTGTTGGCGTTAACATTTTATATTTACAAAGTACAATTTAGAACTTATTAAGCAAATCAGCACAGATTGCATAACTTATTCCGTGGTCATGTCAGGAACATTGATTTTAGGACTTCATGCAACGATGTATCTTCGTGGTCATAGGCACTGTTATAACACCGTTAAACCGTTTGTCACGAAATATGGTTAGCTCATTTGGTTGATACTACCAAGGACTTTGAGTTAACGAGTTTGTACTGTACATTCTAAACAATGTTATTTGATCAATCAAACAAAGACGGCATCGTAGAAAAGAAGCATGGAACGTAATACTACAAAACTTATTTAAAGTGAAACCCTGTTAATCCGGAGTTTATTCTCTCCAGGGAAATGAGTCGTATAGAGGAATTTGCGGTTGAACTAATCAATGGTGTGCAGTATTCATTTAATTACAGGTAGACGTTCCCACAGTAAACGTCCGGTTGTGGGGTGTGCGGATTTATTAGATTACTCTCTATATATCCATGCAACTTCTTGGCACTATAATGTATACCATCGAACATGAAACAGAAAATTCATGGCCAATCAAAATCCTATTTTGTTGTCAAATATACCCATCAATGAAGAAGGATATGGTGACATTTCGACACCTCCCCCTTGTTTACTTGGTGTTGTGATCACACCGCGTAAGTCTTATGTGCAACAAACAAAGAACTGTATATAAAAAGACATGTTTCACTATAATAGTGCGCAAAGTAATCATAGCATACTGAACTCTTACCATTAGAAGCATATCCGCCGCATTTGGAATTCTTCTATATTCGTTATGTTTGTCCACAATGTTTTGTTTTTCCGCTGCGCTGAACCCGGTGATGGCTGTATTTTGTTTATCTGTTTCCCTTCGGACTCGCTTTACAAATTCGCCATGTCCGGGAAGAGCCTGTGTTTCAATATCGCCGAAAACGACACCAACAAATACGGCGCTGACGAAAATAACAACGGCGGAAGAAGTCATCCTTGCAGAACCCACGTCTTCACTCCGTCAGTTGAAGAGACAAGATGAGAAGATCGACCAGTTTATGTTATTACATATACACGAGCTGGA